AGAAGCCCAGGGACAGTGTCCAGGCCCTGCGTTCAAGCCCCAGGACTGGCAAAAAAAATAACATGAAAATAATGTATGCAACAGAGTGTTTGCATTATAGAATGGATTTTATATGATAGGTTTTGCATCCTGATTTTGAAATGTATTCTCACTAAGTGCCCCCAACAAAATGCTAAGGACCAGGATATGCAAGGATTGGTAGTCTAGCAACACAGCTAATCCTGACAGAGCTAATGCTCCAGCCCTGTCTGTCTGATTTTAAAGCTCATTGCTGCATGATACCACACTGACCTGCCCTGGTACTCTGCCCATTTTCTCTAGATAACGCAGGAGATTCTGAGGAATCTTAAAAAGCATGTACTTTCAAGGAAGATGTTTCACTATAAATGTAACTTTCTTGGGGAGTTGGGGGGAAGCTGGTTTCCTAGAAATGCCATGTATTTGTTCCAGATGTCAGATGAAAATTATTGCAAACATCACAAACAAAATTATAATTGTTGGAAAAGTGAGAGAGATCACTCAAAAAACATCGTGGGAGCAGGGTGAGCAAGGCTCTTTCTGTCTTGGCAGAAGCCTGTGATTTCCCTGGGGAAAATCTTTTCTATAGAGCAAAACTTCTAAATTAGTTTCCAGCAAAGTAGAGTTTGAACTTTCCTTCTGCCCTTTGAAAGTGTCTGGCATTGCTTTGTTCTTAAATAGAATTGTGTTACCTGCAAAATTTGACACGTGGGGTGAGGAAGGGGGTGCTATTTCCCGCCCGTGTCTCTTCTCTCTCACAGTTCTCTCTGCTTGGAAGAGAGGTAAATGCATTTTTATGTTTAATGCTCACCCTTTTTCAAGCACAGTGTTTTGCATGTGGTCTGCCAAGGTGATGAGGACATGGACATTGGTTCTCTTCATCTTATTTTAGAGTAATCAACAAATATTCAAACAATAACAAATAACCAGCCCTTCGTTTTGCTTACGAGCTCTTCCCACTTCTTTGATGTGAACCATTAGTTGAGTCTGATTTTTCCATTTCACACGAGAACCTATGCAAACGTAGCTTCAGGATGCACCACCAACTCTAACCTGACTACTACTCCTCTGACCCGCAACTGTTTTCTTCTGGCAAATCCTGAAAGGCAATAACCATACTGTTGTTGGCCGTATCCCTTGTCTCCTGTTCTCTTTATAACTTCCTACAACTCAGCTCCATTCTTTCTGACAACAAACTTCCTCCCCCCACCCCCTCACACACACACACAGTCACACAATACTTGGAGTAATAATAAGTAGCAACTATGCATCCACTTTTTTGTGTCTCACACTAAATCTATGGTTTTGTCTCCAGCCTGTGAACCCTTGCTGTGTACATTTACATGTCATTAACTCTTCAGTGTTGGATATCATTTACTGCTGAACCACAAAGCAAAGCTATCACTGGCTGTTCTCACCTATGACCTCTTCTTAACATTCTGCTCTCCCCTTACTTCCTGATCATTCTTGTTATCTTAATTCAAGTCTTTATTGTCTTTCAACATTATTACCTCAATACTCCTAAGACTGCCATTTCCTTTTAATCTATAACATTGCTTTTATTAAATTGATCATTTATTCCAGCTAACAAAAGAAAGAAGAGAGGGGATTGCTCAGGGGGAAAGATAGAGATATTTGTATCCAAAGCAGAAATACCTAGGGAATTAATTTTTTTTTTAAGTTATAGGGATTGTTGGGGTATTGTGGTTCACTCCTGTACTCCCAGCTATTTGGTAGACAGATTAAAGATCAGGAGGATTGTGGTTCATGAACAGTTGGAGTAAAAGTCAGTGAGACTCCACCTCAGTAAAAGCAAGATGGATATGGTGGTTCATATATACTTGTAATATAGCACCCTGAGAAGCATAAATAAAGGAGTGTTTTGTAGTGAAGTACTAGGGGAAGTACTGCACCCAGTATTTACTGGGGTGCAGATGCTGTATTAAGGGTGTCACATACATTTGTAGAGCAGATGAGCCTGCCTAGCAAGCTCAAGGCCCTGAGTTCAAACGCCAGTATCATAGAAGGAGAAAGAAAACGGTGAGAAAAATGAAACAAGAGTGAAGACACAGGTAAATGGAAGTGGTGTGCTTTTAAATGCTAAGTGATGGTTAGGATTTTCTGAACTATTCTCCTCAGTCTGGCTTCACACTGTGATCCTCAGATTTCAGCCGCTTGAGGAGCTAGGATTACAAGTTAAGACCATTTATAAGTTAAGACTACTGATTTTTCCAACCTGTTTGTTTCCTAGTGATACCTAAAATCTGAGCATTCCCCCCAAACACTGCTGTAGTCGCACCTGCTCATATTTATTGCACTTTTGTTATCATAGGATTGAAAGTATTTTCTTTATTATTCTACCATGACTCATGGGTTATTTGGAAGTAATGTAGTGATACTAATCTCAAATCATTTTCAATTTTAAGATACCTACTTGGTGGTGCTAAGATTTGAACTCATGACTTTGAGCTTGCCAAGCCAGCACTCTACCCTTTGAGCCATGTTGTCCAGACCTTTTTGCTTTATCTATATTTCAGATAAGGTCTTGTACTGTTTTTCTGGACAGGCCTCAGACTGAAATTCTCCTACTGTGTATTTGGGATTTCAGTAGGTACTCTTACATCCAGCTTGTGTGTTAAGATGGGGATCTTCTTTTTCTGGTTTCATTAACCACTGCTTCTATATTTGCAAATTTACCTATTCATTAAAGTGAATCTGTAGCCTCCATACCGATATCCATAGCACCGTCATGATTATTCGGAGAAAACACAAGAAAAGTGATGAAAATCGGAGTCACCCAATGCATACATTTCCTACTTGAGAGAAAAACAAAAGGTAACATTCTGCTTCCCTGTCTCAGCTGTCATCTGTAAATAAATGTCTTTCATGGTTTTTATTGGTTTCTTGTTTTGTAATGGTCCCACATATAGTGCTGAAATGTTATGTAGGTTTGTCAGTGAAACAATGGCTGAATTTGCAATCTATGAGATCACTACTAATTTAAAAAGCATTAAGGACAACAGTGCTGTGAGACTGGGCTAAAGAACAGGATCAGGTTATTTGGATCAATAAAACAACAAACTTCTCAAGCAGCGCAGCCTGGCTTGCATATTTCAAAAAGGAATGCAACATAGCCAGGCACGTGTGGCTCACATTTGTAATCCTCGCTCCTCAGAAGGTAGAGATCTGACGATCACTTTTTGCAACTAACATGGACAGAAAAGTTGGTAGGACCCTCCCATTAACCAGCAAAAAGCCAGAAGTGGAACTGTGGGTCCAGTGGTAGAATGCTAATCAAACAGATATTGAGTTCAAGCCCTAGTAGTGGTCAGAAAAAAAAAGTAATGCAACACGAACAGTGTTGAATTTGCAGGTAAAGATGTGAGCTTCTGCTGATCAAGAGACTGCAGGTTTTTTTTTTTTTTTTCATGCTGAGAGTAATGCAGAAAATGGGTGATATGAAAGAGATGAAATTCAATGGCTGGAAACTGGCTCATTTCTCAAGGAAATTGGCAAATAAGTTTATATAACTCAAGTGATACCGTGACTGACAAAAAAGTTACCAGAAGATTGCAGAAAATGAAATCTTAATCCTCTGTAGAAATAAAGGATGTTATAAAACGAAACTATCAGAAGTAAAGATAATTGACTGTATCTTTGTTTCCTTAATTTCTCTTTTTCTTCAGGCTACCAATTTTGTGTTTATTTATATATCTCCTAATACACTAAATTATTTTATCATATGTAGTACTTTCCTACTGGCTTTCTTTGCTTTTCCCATAAATAGATACATTTTACTAAACTGTTTCTGATTATGTACTTTCTCTTCATTAACTGTATCTCTTAATACCTCTACAACAACATTAACCAGTAGTCACAACAACAAATATTTTTGTATCTGACTATTCAGAAAGCCTCCAACATTTCCCACTAAGTAAACTGCAAAATTTTAAATTGAAGTATAAGTTTTATCATATTTAAAGTATTTTACGTTCCTATTTTAGCATGTATAATAATTTAATATTGCTTAGTGTCTTTTAGTATCTAGGAAATAATATTTGTGTTGATCGTGCTTTTCTCTCATGGGTATTAATATGGAAAATTACATTAAAGGATTTTCTAATATCTACTTTTTGTTTATAGCATAATTCTCTGCTCATTACGTATTACTTTTAATACTCTTGGATTTTCAGGGTCTTAAGATATTTCTGAGTGACATTGTTGTGTAAATTTAATGCAGTTTATTTTCACCTTTTGTTCTCACCACTACACACTCATTCATTTCAGAAAAAGAATTTATAAGGGATTTTTTGGGCTATATTGGGGCTGTATTACTGAAGTCCTGCAGAAGTGTGATACAAAGATAAAGAGAAGTGGTAGTTCTGTGCTCAGCATGGGCATGTTACCCAGCATCAGGGAGAATGGACCAAGATGCTGACCAGAGACTGGAGCATAAGGCATATTGGAGGAATTTAAATATCTGATCCAAGATGGAGAGGTGTGTAAACGAAGTGGGCAGAGATAAGTACCGATGTGTGCAAATCTAGGGTGGGTGTGTGATCACGAGCCACTGTGTGGGGAGATGTGCCGCAGCGTGAGGAGCTATGGAGCAATGTCCTGTTAGAAAGTAGCAGCTGCTACTTAGTTTTAGAAAGATTTGACCCTTGGGTCTACTATTGCCGGATGACCCATTTTTCCAAAATAAGATATAAAGTGAATACTTTTATATGGAGGAGCCTGAGTTTTCAATGTTGGCTCCAAGTATCAAAGCACAGAGTCATATTTTACAATTGTGGGTGGCTAGCTTAGGAAAATGGTGAGGGGGGGAACTGAAAAGGGGACTTGTAGAGAAACAAAGAACAGACAATAGTAAAGAAGCTTGAAACCTTTATTTAAATCTGTCCTTGATACATTGAAAGATGAGCATTTTTATGGAAAGGCGACAGGAAGGAAGTTCTCTTTCCAGTTTCCCCATGATGGTTATTACTTCTTCACTCCTCCCATTACAATGCAGACATGTGTGATGATAATTATATACACTTATGAATTATATCATAGAAAAATAATGTCACTGATACATGTAAATAGCTTGGCAAATGGCTAAGAAAATAACAGAAGACAGCACTTTTATATTTTAAGTCTAAAAATGGTAGCAATGTTCTGACAATAGCTTACTTCGTTTACAATCTTTTGGCTACACAATGCTAAAAATAATTACATATTGGCATGCAAAACAACATGGTTTCAAAACACATCTCTTAAGTTTTTAGAACTTGAAATTTCAGCATCTCAAGTTGCTGGCAGGTGATGTTGTGAAGATGGTCTTGAGATTAGTGATGTATTTATTTCCTAGAGATAGAAAGAAAATGATGATTTAGTATAGTTATAACCAGATGATAGGGTTAACTTATTCAGAAAATATTTCAGTGATTTTTAAATAAAAGTTGCTTATTAATCCTTTTATAAATGAATCTCCAGTCTTTTGGATTAATCACACACACATACACACACATATATACTTATATAAGCATGTATATACATGTGTGTATATATATCTATTTAGAGATGGCTTAAGCTGCCCATCAAAAATAAAAATTGATGAATAATGTAAGTGATTTTTAATTTTTATCACTATGCCTTAAAATATTAGGCATATAATACCACATATGCAGGTATTTTTTTTGTGTTGAAATTTTAGTATAGATTGCAATGTGACACTAATATGTGAACTAGTTCACATCTGTTTTATTCTTATCTCTATTACTAGTTTTTTATCTCATAGACTCTAAGTAAGTGATTTTGGAATTAAGTCAATGAAAAGAAAACCATAATGATTACATGTAATCATATGTATATCTATCTTAAATACTTAAATATGTATGATATATTCATAATAAGTATACTTTTCTACTGTATAAACTGAGAATGAAGACTCTCTTCCCTTCATGGGGAACAGCTTGTAGCAGTATGACACACAGTACTTTAAAAAGTTTCAACGGTTTTAAGAACTGACTAAAAGGCCCTCACCGCTCAGTGATTTTGGACTGAATCAGCCAGTTGATGAAGTCCCTGGTGGCCAGGCTGTCCAGAACTGTGCTCATCTCATCGGAGAAAGAGCCATCTGCATGTCTGCGGCGGAGTTCTTCAACGATGGTGACTTCTTCTGGGAAGCTAAGAAATGAGGGTTGAAGTATGCAATTGGTTAGAGATTTTAAACAGTTGCCTATGGATTGCTGACAGCTGGTAGCATGTACAAGAGTTGTGGAGAACAGGAAAGTCTAAGTGCACAGCGTCTAAGATGAAAACTCATGTGAGTTTGCAGAAATGAGAGGTGAAAGGAATCCTCTGAAACTTCATGTCTCTCATACTTCAGGTTGCTTCAAAGATTTTAGCATCTGGACAGCATGTAAACTCATATTGAGACTATTTTTCTTTTTGTCTATAATTCAGCAAAATACCCCACACCCTAGAAAATGTAGTAAAATCAGTCTTGCAAATTGCATCATTAAGGGTTGCAAGCTTAAGTCTCTATTACATTTCCCTTTCATTAATTTTTGTTCTTTAAAGCACTACACAAAGCCGGGCACCAGTGGCTCACACCTGTAACCCTAACTATTCAGGAGGCTGAGATCTGAGGATCATGGTTCAAAACAGCTGGGGCAGGAAAGTCTATGATGAGACTCTTATCTCCTAAAAAACCACTAGAAAACCAGAAGTGGTGCTGTGGCTAAGCAGTAGAGTGCTCATCTTGAGCTGAAGAGTGCAGGGACAGCGCCCAAGCCCAGAGTTCAAGCCCCATGACTGACCAAAACAAAAAACAACAACAACAAAAAAAACCCCACTATACAATATCCTTAAAGAAGTGGAGGTATGGGGCTCAAGTGGTAGAGCTCCAGCCCAGAGCAAAAACACTAAGCTATCTTTATAAACATGAACAACAACTTTCCCATTTTTTTTTTTATAAATTTGATAATGTCTTAAAATCAGTCACAATAATTTAGCCTTATGTCCTGAGGCCTCTTTGTAGCTCAGGAAACCCGTTTTACATCAAAATCAGAGTTGAGCATGCATCTTCTGCCTCTTCTATTACAAATGCAAATCAAAATGGCCACAAGAAACTGAGATGGCTCAGAGGTATTTTGTTTTGTGTTAAAAGACAAACATAAAACTGAGGCTCTGAGTCTCATTTGAATTTTGATTATATAATGGATATTTATAGATCAGCACCATGAAAGTGAATATGTGCTTAAATAAAGGGGTATTTTCACCTTTTTGTACTTTAAGTACATCTTATTACTATCATGTGTGGTCATTTTTAGTTTTCATCACATCTATATCTACATTCTTGACATACATAAATATAATCACATGTAACTTATTTCAAGTCAGAATTTAAATACTGAAAGTTTTAGTAAAATGCTTAAAGTTTTCTACACTATTCATCTTTTATCTTTAGTTTCTCTAGGACCGTTCTACTTGAGATCTGTTGTCCCAGTTATCCAAAGTGAATTATTCATTCTCAAATGTGTCCTCATTGGGATAAGTCAATGCCTAATTATAACACAATTATAATAGGGAAGAGAAGTGTTACCTGTTGCATTCTAGCATTATTACTTGCAACTAAAATTTATATATTGTTTCCAACCAGTAAGTGTTAGTTTCTTACTTGAGACTATATTAACTTTCTATTACCAACTCTTTTTTTTTTTTGTCGGTCGTGGGGCTTGAACTCTGGGCCTGGGCGCTGTCCCTCAGCTCTTCAGCTCAAGGCGAGCACTCTACCACTTGAGCTACAGTGCCACTTCCGGTTTTCTGGTGGTTTATTGGAGATAGGAGTCTCACGGTCTCTCCTGCCCAGGCTGGCTTTGAACCGCGATCCTCAGATCTCAGCCTCCTGAGTAGTTAGGATTACAGGCGTGAGCCACCAGCGCCCGGCTTCTATTACTAACTCTTCACTTAGATCATTATAGTTTTCAATTTTGACGTCAAGGAAAATGGTCCGATAAGAATGTATTGACTTACTCTCGCCTCCCTCGGCCTTTCACCAGCCAAGCAATGAACTCCTTGGCAGCCTGGCCTTCCAAATAGGAGCTTACATCACTAGTAAAGGTCCCTTCAGCATGCCTCTCAAATTCATCATGACGTTTGGCAATGTTATTCCTGAAGGAAAGGTGAAAGTTAGGTTGAAGCTCTTATTTGCAATGTGGTGCTTACTTATAAGCAGAATTCAATGGAGAAAGAGCTTGGAAGGTTGGGAGTTGAGGATGGCAAGCGGATTGTGCAGATACATGAATGATCTGGACTGAAGACTAATGGGAGAGATAATAACCACTATGAGGGGCCAGAGCTATGCTCTCCCTTCCCAGCATATCTATTTTACCTCCCCTGTTTACCTGTGGAGTTTGCTGCTAAAGCTGTATTACTTGTTATTTATTCTCTAGAGATGTAGGGTGTCTGCTTGTCCACTGTGATGTGTTCCAAGGAAGGTAGGTGTGGTTATTTCTATGTATGGGACCAGAACTGGTTACATGAATCAACAGAAAAGCAAAGGACCATTTGAAAATGTTTTCTAAAGAACTAAATGATAATGGATGAAAGGAAATGTGTGATTTGCTTGGAGAAAAGCAAAAAAAAAAAAAAAAAAAAAGATGATCCTGTAACAGCTGTAGGAGTATGAGAGGAGCATTCACAGTGATCCCCTCCAACATATATCATTCCAGGAGAGTTCATCTTAAACAGAAGATAGTGGAGAGGGAGTATTTCAGTATATTTATTTGCAAAGTTGATATGTTCCCATTCTAGAACATGGGACAATTGTTTCCGGCCCCCCCCCCCCCCCACCATGGGACAGTTCTTGTTTGAATAGATTTGTGATTTCTCACATTTCTCTGATGCCCACCTGTAGCCCTCAGTAAGGATGTGTCCACTCTGGCCATGATGGCCATCTTTTCTGCAATTGGATTCTCTTTTCTGCAGTTGGATTCTCCACTTTAAGGTTCACTTTGGTCAGCTACACTATTTCTGCCATTCCCATGGTGGTTTGTGCTCTCTCCCTGATTCTCACTCTCTCTTCCTCTCCTCTCCTTCCATCCAGATACATCCATGTCCTTTCCCCTGATTTTTAGATTTCTTCACCTACTTTGTATATATAACCCCTTCCCTTTATGGGCCACTCTCCAAAGAAATTGTGAAATCCCACCATCTATGTGAAACCCTGGTGGATAATTTTCTCCAGTAGCTTAGAAGCATCACCCCTCCCCCCACTCTGCCAAACATTTGTCAAAGAAAATTCAACATTAAAATGTATGCCTTCTGATAGGTTTGTGTTCTTATTTGCCGCCTTCTCTCTTTATACGGTGGAGCTCTCTAGGCTGTAATTTAAATGCATATTTTGGCTTTCAGTCTAAAGGAAAAGGAATGCATCTGTCTCCATTTCTTAGCACGATGAACTTGACTGGAGTATAATTGTAAGGTGAACAGTCATGGGTTTGAATCCTACAAGGGAATGTTAAATTTTCTCTATCTTTTAGAAGTTACATTTCTGCGGTTGCTAGTCCAGAAAAGTCAGTTTAAACTTAAAGGTAAAATGGGTGGGAGGAACTACCACAGAGCCAACTGAGAAAATAATTTAAAGTCTGTGCCAAATTGTAATGTGGGTAAGCATTTTGGGAGGTGAAGGGAGAGGCAGGAAGCTGCATAAGGTAAAGGATAGCATCCCCAATCTTGAAAATTATCACAGCGTGGTTTGGCAGGCATGAACTTCAAAATGTTAGGAGGATTTTTAGGTCTATTTAGTACAATTGTTTAGACATTCACCTGTTCCTCTTGGTATTCATCAACCACTGCACAAAGTCTTGGGCACGCCTGGAGTCCAGATACTTGCTGTAGTCACTGGTGAATGTGCCTTGTGAATGACGCTTGTCTTCATTCATCTCGTTGGGATCCTCCAGTGGTGCTGTCTGGGAAGCTGGGAATGATCTATGAAGAAGAGTCATTACTGTGTCATAGATCTCCCCAAGGAGAGAAGCCCCGAAGCCCCTTCACCACAAAGTGCATGATCACATTCAGGATTAAGGTAAATATTTAAGCGAGTACTTTAGAGAAACCTTAGCTTCTCATGGGAATCTCAGATGTAGTGTAATTGAATATACTTTATCTCTTAAATGGAAATCTGATAACAGGTTTTTGGACTAACTTCATTTTCTTTCTGGAATATGATTAAGTAAATCCTTTTCAGCCAATTAATCTACTCATGATTATGCTAATAATGACAGAAGAGAGCAGTGACTTGAATATTTTAAAAGAGTAAAGAACCCCAAATCATTTGTGTGGGCAGCAGATTTGTTCCCGTTTTTTATTTTGCATATATTCATATAAAAGCATAGCTCAATTACCTAGTTATATGATAGCTAATAGCTGAAGAAATGTGTTCTCTCTCTCTCTCTCTCTTTCTCTCTCTCTCTCTCTCTCTCTCTCTCTCTCACACACACACACACACAGAGGCCACTGGTTGATTTAAAACTTTATAGTGGATAATACTTATGCTAATAATCAACAGTTGGTTGGCCTGGACAATATTGGGAAATTATTCAAGGTGATTAATACCTAGGGATAAGGTAGTACACCTGTCAAATTAGAAAAGATTATATATTGGGGAGGAAAAAAATCTTTCTTTCTTACTAATGTAAATGTAAACGTATATGATTTTCTGGAGGCAATTCAGCAAGATATTCATTCAAACCCTCTGATTTAAATTCAGTGAAGCCTTTTGATATAGTCATCCTACTAGTGGAACTTTACCCAAAGGAAATAGTGATAAATGTGGATGGAAATATCAATAAAAATACCACGTGTAGTGTTCCTTATAAGAAAATTTGTAGACTTAAGTGGCTAATAGAAAAAGGAATATCTAAAACTTGTTATATATTTATAAAATGAAACAGTATACAACTTTATTTTGTCAGTGGTGGGGCTTGAACTCTGGGCTTGGGTGCTGTCCCTGCTCTCTTCAGCTCGAGGAGAATGCTCTACCACTTGAAACAGAGCACCACTTCTGGTTTTCTACTGGTTTATTGGAGATAAGAGTCTCACAGACTTTCCTGCCTAGGCTGGCTTTGAACCATGATCCTCATATCTCAGCCTCCTGAGTATCTAGGATTACAGGCATGAGCCACTGGCGCCTGGTGATATACAACTCTTAAATATCATAGTTAGTAAACATTCTCATGACAAAAACCAAAGCTAGCTGGGTAACAGTGGCTCACACCTGTAAGCCTAGCTAGTCAAGAGACTGAAATCTGAGGATCAAGGTTCCCCAATCTGAGAAGGAAAGTTTGTAAGACTCTCATCTCCAATTAAGTATCAAAAAACTGGAAGTGGAGGTGTAGCTCAGCTTTTAGAGCACTAGCCACAAAAAAAATGCTAAAGGACAGAGCCCTTATTTCAAGCCCTAGTATACCCCTTGCCAAGGCTCACAGAAAAAGCATGATAAAATACTATATGAGACAAGAGCTAATTATATAGAATATATACAGATAAAAATCCAGGAAAGCAGTATACCATTTTTCTTTATTTTGAATAGTTTCTTTTGGGAAGTGGAAATTTGAATACTTAAATTTTTTTGCATATTTTCATATTTTACATCATGAACATGTATGATTTTTACAATTAGCAAAGAACAATGTTATTTTTAAGAGGAGCAAAAAGAAGACAACAGTTAGTGAGGGGAATTAAAATAATCTACTATGTAGTGTATGAATAATAAGTACATAGAGAAGATCAGCTGGAGTACTCAAAAGGCTGTGATTTCCCATTTACATGTTGTTCAGCACTTCCCACCCCTTTAATTATGAAGCAGTAATACACTGATTTGTACTCTAGACAAGTATACCTTTATCAGTATGATATTTTAAACCTTTGAAGATGGCTTAAAATATCACCAACATACAGTATTTTTATTTTGTTTAATTAAAAAAATCTTTAAGTAGTTGTACAAATAGGTTTCAACTCAACATATCAATTTTGAGACCATGGTACTCTAAATATCACTAGGGACCTTATTCACTAGCATAGTGTAGTTCTCAGAGGCTTTATTCTAACCATAGGACAGTTTAAGTCCGAAAATTTAATACCTGGGTCTCTCCTCGGTGTCTTGAAGAGAACGTTGCCAGCTTCCTTGTACCAGCATTATGAACAATCCAGCCACAAAGTAAATGCTCTTCATTTTTTCGCCTGTCAGAACACAATGTGTGGGGGAAGGGGGCACAGGAAACTATAGTTAAATGTGTCAAGCTCAGTTTAATTTTGATAAAGTAAATATTACAGAAAGAAAGAAGAAGCCCATCCTCCTAATCTCATTCTGATTATAGTTCCAATTTAACTGCAAATAGATTATATTTTTCCCTTGCTTTTTGGAGGCAAAGGAGAACACAAAAGATGTATTCCACTAATAAGCTTTTCATTATTGTAGGGCACTTCTGTTAATGATTAGAAGGTTCATTTGCAGATTTGAAATGGAAAAACAGTACACAATATATGTTTAAAATATCTACTGTAGATGATATGCTACATATGGTTAGCCTGAATGGCACCTTATCCATAATGCCGCCCCTTCACTATCAGTCTGGCTTTCAATTAATAGTCCTTCACTTTCAAGCATTTACATTATACTGCATTTCAACCATCTTAAAGCAGCCTCAGGCTACAACTTGGCATACCAGCTGTCGGTTCAGATGTATTATTCATTTATATTTTAAATAGTGTAACTTGGTCTAGACTTTGTAATTATAAAGCGGCCAACAGATTTGAGGTATTTTAGGGTGCTTTGACCTGTTCTAAATTAAAGGGAAAAATCATTTTGAAGACAAGCAATTTGCAACAAGAACTAATGCTTCTGGCAACTTGAACAATCACAATTAAGAAATTAGAGATGAGTATCATAAAGAAACTAGTGCTTGCTTTTGAAGTCTCAGAAGTTCTCAGGTGATTTTGCAATTGGTTTTAATCCAAGACATGACATTTCCTCTTGGTAAAACTAAGGACCTGGTTGTGGGAGACACCTGATTTCTTGTCCTTGTGTCGCAAGTGGAAGCTAGGCCAAGCCATAGGATGCCAAGTATGTGATGAGGTGATGTGAATGGAGATGGAGACCAACACGAATGTGGGATGAGTGTATTTTAAAGCAAGGTCCTCTATGTGCAGAACGGAAACCTCAAGCCTACTCTGGCACGACTACCTCTCTGCTACTTTCAAACTCACCTATCTTTCTCTCTCTCTTTCTCTCTCTCTTTTGAGAAATAAGAATTTAATTATGTTTATCCATAAATAAATTGAATGAGTATTTTTAGCAAATGACATTTGGTTTGGAATAAGGATTTTGCAAATATTATCATTTTAAACTATCAATCTTTTCTTTCACATCCAAGCCATATTTACTATCCCTGTTACTACAACACAGAGACCGTAACACCTGCAGCAGTAACATTTTCTCTTTGGAATATTAAGTCCTTGCAGCTTAAATGGTCAATTAGACAAAAACCACACAACAGAAATCATATATTTACCTTCCTTATTCATTTGCAAAATGGCTAATTTTTGGTTCAGTTTAGCCAGGTGGAAAGTTTTAGAAAACTTACTAAATATTTGGAAGGCAACTTCTGATTCTAATTTTCAATGATGATATCTTTCAAGAGTGTTTAAAAATTGAAGCAAGTACTCATGTGATTATACTAACAGGAGTATGCCATCATGTAAAAGTTTTTTGAGGAGGATTGAAAGCTTTCAAAAATGTATTCCAAAATAATTCTGTCTGCCTAAGGTTATGCAGTACATTCTGTTTTATTATGTCAGAGAAAATTTATAGCAGGTGGTATTCTGCCATCTGAAGCTGATGGAAAAAGAAATAACCCAAAGAAGAATGATCATGGCCCTCTAATACTGTCAAATGAGTTCTATTAAAAGAACTATTTAAAAAATCTCATTTATTCACTTTTTTGGAAAATTAACACAGTTATGAAAATTTTGATACAGTTAATTCATTGTTTCGACACCATTGCTGAAAAAGTAAATACATATGTTATTTTAGTATCAATATTTTATTAAATAGGAAAGCAGTTTCCAATTGCTTTTACCCTCTTTAGATAAAGAGATAGTTTGCTGTCATGTAAAAACCAGCTATTTCTTCTCAAATCCTAGAGGCATATATAGTAATAATAGTATTAATGATGTAGGAATAATAATAGTGTAGAAAGTCTTTTAGAAAGATACATCCAAAGCTTAGTAAAGAAAACATTATATCATATCCCTAACTATGTTGGTGTTGTTAAATATTTTTATTAAAGTTATTTCATAAATAGGTGCCTTTGTCTATATTGGAAAACACACTACTTAATCATGAACTCCAATAAGAATATTTATAAATTTGCACTTTGTCTTTAGGAAATTAAATAAAACATCTGGCATTTTTTCTTCCTAAAGAGATGTGCTAAACTTTAACTCCCAAATTCAGCTACTTTGGATTTTATTTATAACTATTGGTCTTCCATATATAGTAAATAATTATTAGTTTGTGAGTTTTCTCAGATCCATACCAAAAAAAATCCCTAATAATCAGCGATGCCTGTTACCTATACTAAGTATGCTACATATTGCTTACAAAGAGCCGCTTTCATGGATCATGATGTTGTGACAGGTTTATTAGAAATTTGAATGTTTGGATGATGGTATTGAGTTACTCTACTGGAAAAATCAAATATTTTAATGATATAGAGAGCAATTGTTGTGATTGTCTCTGTAATAGAGACATTTCTATGGAATTTAAAGGCGCCTTCTGTTCAAAGTAGTATATACATCTATCAAATCCAAGGAAAATAATTTTCTGATTACTTACACGCATTTGAACATGCAATTCTGCAAACAGTTAAGCCTTATAAAAAATGTACTGTCCTGAATCTTTATTATTTTTCTTTCTATTTTATCTCTTGCACTGAATTCTTTCTATGAACTATTTTTATGCCTATTGGTATAAGTATATTTGATAGAGTTTTATCTCAATTCTGCCCTGCGTATTATTAGTAACTAAGTAAAAGATGAAAGGACGCTTTGATTCCTAATACTTAAATACAAATAATTAACTGCCCCCTCCCCACACAATACAGTCTTTCCAATTTCACAGTCATCCAATATCATCAATCTTACCTTCTGGTGAGGTGGTGTGGGACAGAGCAGAGAGGTACAGAGCCCGTGTCTAGAGTGAGTCCTCTTTGGAACTTAGGATGCGCTCTCTGCCCTGAGCTCTTGCATTTCTGCACCAGCGCTAGGCTTTTATATACTCCCCAGCTCTGTTTAGCCTCATAGATATTATGCTGACAATATAAATTTCTCATCTGTAAATAATGGGGTTTTGTTACAAATGATTTCACTCGCCCACTCTCTTTACTCATCTGTATTTGACACGTATATTGGGTGAGACCTCAGATCCGGAGACTTTTTGTTTACTCTTGTGGATTTTTTTCCCCTGGCAAGGACTGGGAAAAACAGTTTGCAGCTTCCCTTGTGAATGGTAGTCAGGCTTGAAACTCACCTAGGTTCTGCGAAGTGAATTTTGCTGTTAAAGAACACTGCCATATTGGACAATGTTACAAGTCCCTGGGTTTTGCTATTTAGCCATGAAGAAGTTACCAGAATAATCAATCACTCATTCATCTAGCCAAATAGCAAGTCATTTATTCAACACATATTTACTAAAAATGCACTCACTCGCATTCTATGGAAATAATTTGTGGGGAATTTTAAAGGCTGTCAATTAAGACCTAATGTGTCTTGATTTAATGAGTTCCATTCAGCCATTCAGGATAAAGCAAACTGAGTTGCGAGAATGGTGGAGCAGGTGACATAGATAAAAAGACATTGTACTCATAAACTGACATGTTAAAAAAAAACCTGACATGTTGAATTAAACCTCTTGGTACAATTATTTAAAGTTAACTTAAAAAAAATAATAATAAAATAGCCGGGCCCCGGTGGCTCATTCCTGTAATCCTAGCTATTCAGGAGGCTGACATCTGAGGATCACAGTTCAAAGCCATCCTGGGCAGGAAAGTCCGTGAGACTCTTAATCTCCAATTAACCACCAGAAAACTAGAAGTGGTGCTGTGGTTCAAGTGATAGAGCACTAGCCTTGAGCTCAAGAGCTTAGGGACAGCCCCCAGGCCCAGAGTTCAAGCCCCATGATAGACAAGACAAAACAAAATGAAACAAAACAAAACAAAAAAAGACTAACCATCCAAGACAGGTGATGCTAATAAGACAGGACCTAGCATTTCTTTTTCTTTCTACTGGTTATTTAAAAATCTTACTTGACTGATAAGTGTGAGGGGCAGTAGTTTACCAAAAATGAAATGAAGAGAAGTGTTAAGGTGAGACACATAATGTCATATTTCTTAACTTTTGTGACCCTCACAAGGATCCTTAATAAACTTCACCATGATCCTGGTCAGTTTAGAGAACCAGAAAGATGGTAAGTGATTTGAACAGACAGCACAGGAACTCCTATAATCAGATTTACTCCTCTGCTATCAGTGCGTAAGTTATTTTTGTGTCTCTGCTACAGATTTGTGAAATGAGAAGGGTGGTTAAATGGCCCTTTTCAAATTAAAATTTTATTCCATAGGACAAAGTCATCATAATACTTCTTAAATCAACCCCAATATTCTAATATGTTCAACTACTGCATGGTGTAAGTGATGAGATATTTGGAAGTATATCATTAACTCTACTGAAGAATTATCCTAAATGGATAATTTTGTTTGTACAATGGACCAGTTGTGACCTATAGGACACAAGTATCAGTTTCCACCTCAAATTTGGAAACATCGCTTAAGGGTTTTCTCCTGGTAATTATTGGTGATACAAAGCCTTGGTATTTACAGGATATCCAAGGACTATCATCATCTGGCAACATGCTACAGATGCAGAATCTCATGCCCAGCCTAGATAGACAGAAGCAGAATCTGTATTTTTAACAAGATCCACAGGAAATTCACATATATCTGAAAGTTTCGGAAGCATAGCTGTATAAAAATATCCACCTCACTGGATGCTATCTCCTCCTGATGCTCTCCTCCTCCCTGATGCTGCTAGTATCTTGATTGGCGTAATTACTTCTTGGCAATACCAGTAGAGGGGGTGAAAGAGCAGAGAAAGGTGTCAAGCCTCAGGACCATCTAGAGCAACACAAATGCAATAATGGTTTGAAAGTGTGAATTGATATATGTGATTAAATTGTCCTTCCTTCTGACTACAATGTTCACAAGCATAATAGCTACATTTGTAATTAAATGTTTTGGCAGATTCAGCTCCATATTCCTATAATCTATTTATGGTCGTCCTTCTTTTATTATTTTCCTTCCTTCTTTCCTTCCTCCTTCCTTTTTTTTAATCACCTTATCTTCCCCCTTCTCTATCTCTTCTTCCTCCCCTCCATCTCCTTTCTTTCTCTCTTTTCTCTTAATAATCTAGATGCATGTGGAACAGACCTCAGCAGAGAGCTCTGCAGATGTGTGTGAAGCCCTTAACACAGCACTAGCACCTCAATAAAGGATCATCTCCCTAGAGTTAACAACAAAGTGCTTCTCTTCCATTTACCCTGGTGGTTTTCTATTGTTTTACAAATAGCTACTGATGCCAGCTTCTTTCAGAAAAATGCCCTTATTTACTCTGCCTTTATCTCCATCCCATCCACACTGATTCTTGGGATGATAAGCATTGTGAGCTGCAGAATGTTTAAGAACCTTACTATCTGATGCTCTTCTCTTTTGGAAGACAATTTACCTTGTTGATGGGTACTGTATTATCAGAAGTTAAGTGCCAAGTTCAATGCGAATGTGCAGACCTTTCAATGACTGTCAACACCAGCCAATTCTTGCTCTTCAATTCCCATCATTGCAGCTATCTAGTAACTTCCTAAAAGGAAGAGAACGTGATACACTGGTATTTACATATTTACATTTCAAACATACATGTTTGAAAGCTTTTCTAGAAGCAGAAAGTTCTGGAAGGTGTTCCCTAGAGCTCTTTGATCAGGCAGTATGACAGCGCTTGTTTTGCCAGGGTAGGTGCCCCTCATGGCAATGATTAACTTCTTGAAAGACCAATTTGGTTTGAGGTAAGTGATGCAAATTGTTATAATTATAGGGAACAGAATGGAAAAGTTTATACAAATGTTTAGAACAAGATAAGATCTTTATTCAAAATTAATTTTGTGTTTTGTGATGCCGAGGACTAATGCCAGCTTTTTTGGGTGTGTAACCTGTGGAGTTGTCCAGGGCACATGCTTGTAGAATGACTCCGTGATACACTCTCTTCTCACTCTCTGGAAATAACTTCTAAAATAAATCTCTGCATTTTTTATTCAGTTCTTGAGCACACATATTGTGTATCTAATCCCACTTAGGACATTACCTCACAAATCATGGAGTAAGTGGGATTGTTATACACTTGTTTTCTGCAGCTCATTAGGATATTTGGAATTAAATATCTTAAAATGGTAAAGATATATGGTCACAGTTTACTCTGGTGGCAAATGAGGAACTTCCGTGTATTGCTGATGAAGCCCTTTTATAAAATTTACCAAAACCTAGAGTTCTTGGCCAGGTAGGGCTATTCTGAAATGTTATCTTCTGCACACACCTACATAGGTACGTAATGATGGAGATATAGAGCTCTTTGTTGGGGGTATTGTATATAACAGTAACAAGTTAGAAATAATACAGGGAACTATCCATAGATGACTTACAAAAAGGAAAAAAAAGGTCTTTATTTATCAGTGTAGATTCCAAGGTATGTTGCTAGAATGGAAAAAAGAGATGCTTGATAGATGCACAGTAGGCTAGTTTTTGTATTGGAAAGAGAAAAGGCACAAATATGCATTCATTTACTTGTAGTGTATTAAAATGGGAAGAATACACAAAAAACTAATGAAAGGCCTGTGTGTAGGACCAATGAGGAGCAGTGGGATAGAGGGGAGTGTGCACAAGGAATATTTCTCAAAATGCATCTGTTAGATTGTTTTGATCATTTGACTGAAATAGCTATCCAAAACAAAACAAAATTGGTTTTAAAGTAAAGCCCATGTCAGAAAATGGTTAAGCTTTAGAACTCAATGTTTAATGTTCCCTTTAGCAAGACTACTCCAAGTGTCAAAATAATAAAAAGTATATGTCTGCAAAAATACTTGCACAAAAATGTTCATAGGAGATTGCTTTTCATAATAGTAAAACTTTGGGAATAATGATACTATCCATTAGCAAGAAAAAGAATAAGCAAACTGTGTTCTGGAATTCACACCTTGGAATGCTGCTTATCATGACAAAAAGAAGGAATAACAATAGATACAGGCAGCAGAGTGTATAAATTGCAAGGACATGGTGATGCGTAAAAGAAGCTGGATATTCCAAAACTACTAGCCTACTGTGTGAATCTAGATAAACAAGTTCACAAACAGGCAAGACTAAGGTGTAAGAAAACCACTGAACCGTGGTAGTTTCTTGTGAAAGTATAGGGGAGGACTATCTGGAATACTGTAATAAGGGTTTGTGCTTCCAGACTTATTCAAATGTCAAAATGGGAAAACTGAAATTGGTGGTTCTAACTTGTGTAAATTTTACCTAAAGTAAAAGCGAATAGATTTTAAAAGACTTGTATGAAGTACGTGTATAATTAGAACTAACACAAACAGACAAAAATATTAATGATTGTTTAAGTTAATTGATGATTTCTTGGCTTATGGTTGAAATTTTTCCATACTGAAAAGTTGGATCAAACTATAATGAAATGATTGGAAAGGATAAGACTTTAGTGTCTAATAAATCAGTTATCATTTGGGAAGCTAAAAGTTTCAGAAGCTAAGTAAGGCAAATGAAATTTAATTATGAAATTTAATTATGAAATTAAACATGTTAATTGGAGGTAAATCAAAAGCACAGGGAAGGGCCTTGGTGACCAAAAAATAGCTTGGGGAAAATGTGGGAGGTGGACCATCATTCAGAGGCTTGGTAACAAGATTATAGTTCCTTTCTCCTTAGTGTTGCAAACCTCTCAGATCTGTAAGCAAAGCTGCCATAGCGATCAGTCAAGCTGTTCTGATTGGTTTGTAATCCATATTTGATTTGTGCTCCCTTTAGGATAATTTAGTCTTCTCTAGAAAAAAGGGTTTTCTGAAAAAATAGGTGTACAATTTCCAAAGATTTAACAAAAAGGATTTGAGGAGAAATACATGCAG